AAAAAAAAAAAAAAAAAAGAACCATTGCCCAGCAGCTTAGGGGGAACAGGCATTTTCACGGAGGGGGTGGAAGGGCAAAGTGGAATCACCGGGATGGAAGGTAATGTCGCAGTAGCTAACAAACCTTTGATGCAGCAGAACTGCTTCTTGGAATTTACCAGGTGGATAAATTGCAGGTACACAGAGAAGAATGGATAAGGTCATTGCTTGCAATATTGTTTGTGTTTACAAAAGATTAGAAACCAAAATATCCATTGATAGGAATCTGGTGGAATAAATTATAGTATAGGGGCGCCTGGCTGGCTCAGACGGTAGAGCATGTGACGCTTGATCTTGGGGTCATGAGCTTGAGCCCCATGTTGGGTTTAGACATTACTTAAGGGAATAAACAAAAATTATAGTATAGGCATATAAAGGAATACTGTACAACTGTTGAAAGAGACAAAGTCATACATACTGATATGCAACAACCTATAAGATACATTGTTAAATGGAAAAAAAGCAAGGTACAGAACAGTGTGTACGGTATGCTACCATTTAGGTTTTTAGATGTATACGTCCGTCTATGCTTAGAGTAGGAAGGAGATTCAGTTAAGTTGGTAATAGTGGTTCCCTAGAGAACTGGAAGATTGAGAGATTGGAGTAGGAGGGAGACTGACTTTTCACTATAAATCCGTGCTGTTTAAATATTTCATTGTCTGCATTCAAAATAAATAAAATTCCAATAACCATTGTCAAGAGAAGACCCATCAGAAGTGAAAACCCCAGCATGTCAGGGTTAGAAGGGCCCATAGAGATTAAAAAAACCCCGATGTTCAGAGAAGACACAGATCTGCCCAAGGAGAGGATAATAAGTATCCTTGAGGGTTTAGCTACCACTGAGGCCCACCTGGCTTCAAGGATGTCAGCTAAAAGTCAGTGCCTACCTCCATTTCATTTTCCAGTCTCACCTTTGCCTGTTAGAAGGGATCCAGTCTGAAACTTGGATGTGGGGGTTAAGTGACAGTTTGGGGAGTAGTGCTGTTTCTGCAGGGAGCAGCAAGGACTCTCAGGTTCTTCAGCGTTTGCTTGACCTTTGACCTTTTCTCTGAATACACAAGGTTGACTTTGACTTTGCTCCCAGAGCCAAGGCATTGCAGGGTAGCCACAGTCTGATTTTGAATGAATGTAGACCTTTTGGTTTCTGGAAGGAGAAAAGCCAGACAGAAAAATGAAGCTGGTTCTTAATCTGAATGGTACCCAGCTAAGCAGCTTCCATTCGTGACCCCTGTTAAAACTCCACTGCTGTACTTGCTTCTCTTTTTTTAGTTCACTTCTTCCTCAACATGTGTTTATGGTCCTAAGTATACAAGTCCTGCCTTTCCTCCTTCCTGCCATGGGTCTCAGGAAGATAGGTGACTGCGATAAATTCAGCCCAGAGAAACGCTCCTAGACCGTTTCCTCCAATGCAGAGAGGGTTGCGCGCTGCCTCCTTCTCTTTCTTCACCCTCAGTTGTTTGATTTACATAGCCATGCATTAGGTCATGAGTGTTAATTTAAAAACTGGTTTCCAGAAAGCCTCTTGAGGGGACACATATCTTTAAAATAGGATATTTGAGATCTGGGCTGGGAATTGGGGGAGACGGGCATCTTTTAAAGGTAAAGATTTTCCAGAATGGCAAGGGGATTTTTCAGGAAGGGCCCATTCCCTACCTTGCACGAGCACATCCCTGATTCTTCTCACATCCTTTGGGAAGAACCCTGGCAGCTGTCCCACATGGCAGCTGCTATCTCTGAGTTCTGGAAACAAAAAGAGAAAAAAAGGTCAGGATTTACAATTTATTGGGTACTGTTCAGAATTCCAGGTATTGGAGACGGGGATTGCAAAAGAATGCAGTGTCTTCTCATAGAGCTGGCAATTGGGGAGATCAAACACTATCAAAAAAAGATTTTAAAATAATGATTTAATCTAGTACAAAGAAAACTGAGCACCAATCCATTACACTTAGGGGGGAAGAAAAGGTGAAATAGAGTTAAGTGAAATTAGCTAATAAGTTAATGAAAAGACTAACCAACCCATTCCTTCAAATGCTGCTTGTTATCTCTTCTCCTCCTTGTTCTAGCTGCCTTCTTATATTAAAACTTCTGAAAGTTTATTAAATGTAACTCTGAACAAGGTATCTCTTCAGGTTTCCATGGAACCACTAATGCTTTTTGGCACTTAACTCACAGGATGTTGTGAGTTTTCTTCATCTGTTAAATTTGTTACTGCTGTGCCTTGAGCTGTTTGGCCGTAACTCTGATCAGCTAATTTTAGAGATGAAATGTTTGGACACTTTGGAAAAGCATGTTTTAAATAAACAGTTACCAGATAGCAGCAAACGGTGCCATTCCAGCCTACCCCCCTTACCCTCACCTCCCTCTACCCAAGAGCATCCCCATCTGTTTGGATGTACCACCTTAAAAAAGGAAGACAGCATCTTGTGAGGGTTATGAATTTGGGAGTGGTAGGTGTTGATAATACTGAAACTGTGACAGCACCCTCCAGTAAAGAAAGACGTCTAATGGTGACAGCACTTTGAATGTTCGTTACATGAATAAGGCAGAAGAATGCATCATATTCTCTGAAGAATTCTTACCATGGGGGGCACCTGAGGGGCTCAGTCTGTTAAGTGTCTGCCTTCTGTTCAGGTCTTGATCCCAGCATCCTGGGACAGAGCCCCGCTTCCTGGGGAGTCTGCTTCTCCCTCTCCCTCTGCTCCTCCCCCGGCTTGTGCTCTCTCTCTTCCTCATTCTCTCAAATAAATAAATAAAATCTTTAAAAAAGGGGGCGGGAAGACTTCTCACCATGGAACAGCTATCTCTCTGAGTTGAAGTAAGTTACAGTCCTGCCTAGAAGTAAGAGAATACATGGGATAACTGTAAAGCGTCACCTACTGAGAACTGGCTTTATCTCAATCTGGTGGAATAGACCCCCAAACAGTCTAGGTCTCTCTTTGGATTTTCTAGGATATTAGACTACAGAAGTACTTACCTTTCTTGCTGACATCATAGGACATAATGATTAGGCTAAAAACCAAGCACATGCTGCTAATCTGTCACAGCCCCTTCGTCTTCTTGCGAGGCACTTGCACTACTGCCCTGGAACCAAGTTTGACCCCAGGAGAGTCTGGTTCCAACCTATTTTTGCCCCATTTCCTGAAGACCCAGGAATAGAGCTGATTGGAGAGAGAACCAAATGTGCTTGTTAGTGATTGACTCAAAAAGTCTTCCTCCGACTTCATAGCTGGTGCCGACATAAGGAACTGTAATTACCTAGAGGTTTCCCTAGAAGAAAGGACATAAACACCCAGTGATATGCTTTACAAATACTTGCACATGGACATGTAGACATTCACATGCATGCTCACTACACGGGCACATAGATTTATACACTGACACAAAGAGATGTGGAGATTTCTCTTAAGGAAAACGATTGAAGAATAGAGCGGGGGGACGCCTGGGTGACTCAATCGGTTAAGCGTCTACCTTCGGCTCAGGTCATGATCCCAGGGTCCTGGGATCGAGTCCCGCATTGGGCTCTTTGCTTGGCGAGCCTGCTTCTCCCTCTACCTGCTGCTCCCCCTACTTGTGCTCTCTCTCTCTGACAAATAAATAAATAAAATATTTTTTTTTTTTTTTAAAGAATAGAGCAGGAAACTAGGACTGAATGAGTTAGTGAACTACACTGGAGAGAGCACTGGACTAAGAACTTGGTAGACTTGAGTTTTAGCATAAGCCCTGTTATTAATATCACCTTGAGAAAATTGCTTGACTTCTCTGAATCTCCGTTTTCTCCTCTATAACTGGAGAATTCCAACCAAATAATCTCTAGAATTCATTCACAGTTGTACACATAAACTCATGTTAGCGTAGATGTATCTACCTAGTTTTGCACATTTTCACACCCATGAATAGACCACATTGCCATGACTATTGCACTAGGTAAGTGCTACCATCTGCAGTTTGGGAAGGTTTTCCTAGACAGATAACCACTGTTGTAGAGTTTTCTAACTTTTAGCAAAGAGTTTACATCTAGTGTAATACTCCGTAGACTTTGTGATAGCATAGCTAGGCGGATCATACAGCAGAAATGAAGATCTACGCAGATCCTCTGCCGAAGTCATGAGCCTCTGCAGTCTTTCTACTCACTGTAAATTTTCTTCATTGGAGCCACCATAGGTCTGGCTATGCATAAGAAGGTCTTGGAGCCTGACACTCTGATAATGATGTGAAGGGAGCTTGAGGCAAGGGATTTTCCATGAGGGAGTTCATGAGATCTGAGTCAGATCATAATTTAAATATTACCCTGTTTCCTGGCATTTTTAATTCAGGTTGAAATCTGGCTAAATTGAATTCAGGGGAAGTCTTGATGAGGAAACAGAATGGAAAGAGATGTCACCAGAGGACAACGTGCTGCCTGAAATGTGGAAGAAGGGCTGAGCATTCAGCCACAGTGCCTTTCACCCTTTTGTTCAACAAGTATGGTGGGCCTACTGTGTGCCGGCCACTGTTTTAGCAGTGAGCCAGACTAAGTCTGTGTTCACACGAAATGATGGGAAGCAGACAATAAATGCAGTTGGAGAGACAATAGTGCAGAGGGCTAGTGATAATACACGAATGCAAATACAAGATAATTAGAGGTTGTGATAGTTGTGAAGCAGCAAACAGGTGATGAGGTGAAGGACTACCAGCAGAGGTTACATTTACAGTGGTTAGGACTTCTCCGAGGAGGTGACAGCTGAGCTAAGAAAACCAGGAGAGTGGATGGCAGAGAAGCCAGTAAAGAAGAGTCTTGCAAGGAAGGAATCAGGTGGTTAAGTGCAGAGAGGTTGTGTAGAATAAAGACAGTACCGGTGGGTTTGACAGTTTTGTGACTGCAGTTCTAGCAGAGTGGCAGAAGCAGGAGAGGGCTGAGAGGAAATTGGAGGTGAAAAAGCATACATCACTTTTTCAAGGTGTTTTGCTGTGGAAAAGAACAGAGAAGCAAGGCCACTGAGTGGAGGGAACCATAAGTACCTCAGATCTTTATTGACCCAGAGCAACACTGTCTTATTTCCTTTTTCCCTGGGGCAATTGCCTGATTCTCTTAGCAGGGCAGGTGGTTAGGGCAGAATAAAGGGCTCCATTGCCTTTCCTTTCATGATTTTTGCTTACTATTTCCTTCACATGATTACATGATTCTCTGCTCCCTTATGATATCAGAAACTCCCCCACCCCACCCCCACCCCATCTGTCTGTTTGAAATATTCTGTAGATGAGTTCCTTCCTAGATGCCACTTAACAGTGCTGCCCCCTTGGAGCCGGGGTAGGAAAGAATCTAGGGCTTGCTATTGTCATTCTGTGTCACAAGGTGGCAGAAGAGCTCCCTCTTCCCAAAGGAAACCTTGTGCTTGGACAAAGCGGAAGAGTTTTCTTTTATCAATTTCCAGACCCTTCCCTTTTCCTTTGTGTCTCAAAGGCCTAAAAGTCAGCCTGCATGGGGGGTAGCTATACTGTGGGATACAGAGAAGCAAGAGAGCTGCATTAACAAGGCAACATATTTGGGTCTCTTTCTGTACCACTAGATATTTTGACTGGTTTTCGAAGTGTTTAGAGTATTTGTAGAGGAGAGGATTATCTCTCCTGATCTCCTTTCCCCACAGCAAAGATTTCTAATATAGGAGGGAAAAAAAAAGCGCTATAACATAGGTTAGTTTTCTGATGTGTGTAGATGAGAAATGTGACTCTGGAAGATAATTGGAAACTAGGACTGGATGGATCAATCAGGGTGGGTCTGTGGGAGGAGCACTTGACAAGAAGCCAGGAGGTTTACCTAGGTTCTAGATTAGGCTCTGTAATTGACTGAATCCCTTTGAGTAAGTCACTTAACTTCTCTGGCCTCTATTTCAGTTTCTTGAGATGGTTAGACAAGATGATTTTGTTTGTTTTTTTAAAGATTTTATTTATTTATTTGACAGATAGAGAGAGAGTACAAGTGGGCAGAGTGGCAGGCAGAGGGAGAGGGAGAAGCAGGCTCTCCACTGAGCAGGGAGCCAGACGTGGGGCTCGATCCCAGGACCCCAGGATCATGACCTGAGCCGAAAGCAGCCGCTTAACCGACTAAGCCACCCAGGCACCCCAGGCAGACAAGATGATTTTGAAGGCCTCTTACAGCTCTAAAATTATTATCTTAATGCCATGCTCTGCTCTTCTTTCTTATAAAGGTACATTTTGGGTTGGTTGGTTTGGTTTATTTTAAATTCTTTTATTATGGAACGTATCATACATATAGAAGAGTATATAGAACATAAGTATAGTTTTAATAATAATAACAATAATAATAATGGGAACACTATGTAGCCATCAGCCTAATGATGAAATTGAACATTGCCAGTGTCGTAGAAGCTGTTTATCTTCTGATCACACTTCTTTCCCATTATTTACCCATGCTTTTTAAAAATAGTGAACTATCTGGTATATATATCACTAAAAATAGGCTTTTTTATTTTTGCCTGCTTTTGAACTTAAGTAAATGGAATCATTCTTTTATTATGTACAACACAAAATGGATATACCTCTCTTTGTGACTTCTCCCAATTGCTACCTACCATCAGGAGTAATCGTTATCCAGACTTCTACTGCCACAGATGAGTTTTGCCTATTTTTGAACTTTTTATAACAGGAAACATACTTTTTGTCTGGAATTTTTGCTCAACATTATATTTGTAAAATTAATCTGTATTTCATGTAGCAACAGTTTGTTCATTCTCATTGTTTTGCAATACTCCATTGTATGAATGCCTCACAATCTATGTACCCATTCTACTGCTGAGACACATGGGGTTTTTTCCAGATTGGGGCCATAATGAACAATGTTCCTGGGCACATATGAAAGTTTCTCCAGAGTATAAATTCAGCAATGGGAGCTGGGTTATAGGGTAGACAGGGGATATTCAGCTTTACTAATTAATGCCAAACTCTTTTCTAAGAGGCTGTCCCCATTTACACTTCTATCTGCAATATATGAAAGTTCCTGTTGTCCCATGTCCTTGCGAAAGAGGCCAAAGAGCCTTTTCAGTGCGGTACAACCATGGGACTGAACAGGGCTCAGAGTGCCAACCCTGAAATACTGGTTAGTTTTCAGAAGCCCAGGCCACAGTCACTTCTCCTGTTGACTTGCTCCACCCAAATGAGGGTAAAGGATTCAAATAATCTCTAGGTCTCTGATCACATGCTCTGTTACACTGGAAATATTGGCCGTGGGTGAGTGGGGTGGTGAATTTAATAACATAATCGCTCGGGTGAGTGGGGTGGTGCATTTTTTTTTTTTAAAGATATTTTTCTTTTTTTGAAAGACACACAGCGAGAGAGGGAACACAAGCAGGGGGAGTGGGAGAGGGAGAAGCAGGCTTCCCATGGAGCAGGGAGCCCGATGTGGGGCTTGATCCCAGGACCCTGGGATCATGACCTGAGCCGAAGGCAGACGCTTAACGACTGAGCCACCCAGGCGCCCCATGGGGTGGTGAATTTAATAACATAATCATTCCTGAATGAAGTGAGCATCCATAGGATATTTTGTTCTTGTACTGAGCACTTGTAGGAGATGGAAGGGGGCACAGAAGGCAAAGAGGAAGTGATATTTTCAGTGTGCTTGTTATGTTCCAAGCTCTGTGTTAGAGACTTTACATTTTGGTTATAACATTTCATCCAAAACACAACCTTCCAAGGTAGCTATTATACCTCAGTTTTATAGACAAGGAAACTGAGGCTCAGAAAAGGGGTCATTTGCTCAAGGTCACAGAGCTAATTATTGACAGAGTCAAGATTTAAAGCCTGGTCTATCTAATTAAAGAGCTCAAGCACTTTACAATATAGAACAAGTCCCTGCTGCTCTTGAGGTGTTTTGACTTAGATTGCCAGTTCTCAGAATCAGCTCATCTCATTTCTGCTTGCCTGTATTGACCCCCAAAACTATGCTGTTCAATTTATTATGGCTATCTCATTCACTGATTGATTTATTTTTTAAAAAAGATTTAAAAATTTATTTATTTATTTATTTTAGAGA